CGCCGAAGCGGGGGGCTCCCCCCCCCTTTTTTTAATTTTTTTTTTTTTTTTTTTTTTAAAACAAGTGGGCAGCCCACGCCTGGCTTTCCTTCCCATCACAAGGGACAGGCTTGTGCATTTGCCCTGCTCTTTTAATTAAGCCTCTTGCTAACGATCCCAACCAAAACATTGACGTTAAAGGACCTGAATTCAAATATTTCTGGATTTGGGAAAGGGCGGGGGGAGGAGAAAAGCATCATTATCTGAACCCTAAGAGAGATTAATTTGCTTTTTAGGGACCATAAACCCATAGCTACCATGCAATGGAAGAATTTCTGGCTTAAACAAGGATTTGTTCTGGTGGTTTGTGCTGTTAAGCGCAATATCTCACAAGAGACTCATCTCTTACCTGCATTTAACTTATCTCTGGGTGGAGCGGTGACTCTTAAGGAAGCCAGTCCATTAGCTGCTGTTGCAAAAAAAAAACCCGCTCCGGACCCAACCCTTAATTGTTTCTTGCTGTAACACGAGCTAGCGAGCGCATCCAAAGCATCCAAGGATGCTGTGAAATGCCAACCCACGCTTTGCTGGGAATGTTTCGCTCTCCCTCCCCAGCATCCTGGCATGCGTGGAAGTATTTTGGGGGGTAGCTCAGCCTTGGGCAGGATGGAAAAAAAAAAAAAAAACCCTTTGCCATGGCTGGACTCGCATATTAAACATGAGGGTAACAGCAATTCAACGCTCCTTGGCATTGCAGGGAGGCATCTGAAGGGATTTTGCAGTTTGGGAGGGGTTTTCCAAAGGTCTTTCCAAAGGATTTGCAGACCTGGTGTGTATGATAGGGGCTGGGTGATGCACAGGGAGAGGAACAGCTCGTTAAAATGGGATTTCAACCTTGCCAGCCCACCAGCTAACGTAGGAGACGCCTGGGATGCCAACAGCAAAATGCTGAGTAAGCCGGTATTTGCAAACACATTAAACTAGAAAAATGCTGTTCTTCAGTTAAGGCCTGTTGCACATAAACAGGGACTTGGGCAAAACCGCTGAATTTTGCCCTTTGGGGAAAAAAACCCAACCAAACAACTCCAGTGCAAGGCTGGGCACTGCCCTCCTTGCAGCCCTGGGTACCCAGAAGCTTTGAGACTGGGATGAATCTGTTCATAGCCATCAATCCTTGCACATCAAAAATCTCATTTATATCATCTGATTGGTTAGAGCAGGTTTGATAAGTGGCTTCCAACTTCCCAACCCAGCAAAGCATTTTTCCCAAAAGCTTTTCTTCTGCTATTTAAAATTGCCATTACTAGCAGAGGACCTGTAGGGGATATTATATATATATTTTTATATATATATTTTTAAATATATATAAATACAAGGGGGTTTGGGGAGGATAAACGTGCATTTAAGTCCAAAGCTGTTTATTTTGCAGCCAGATTAAAGGGGATGATGTGTGTTTTATATGATGGCTAAGTAAGGGAGCCTAACGCCCATGATGCTCGTGGTGGTACAGGTGCAGGGGCTGGGGGGTCCCTGCCTCCCTCCCGTAACGCTTCTGTCCTTGTGTCCTGCAGCCATGGCCAGGCTCCTCGTCACCTGCTGCCTGGTGACCCTGCTCCTTGGCACCTGGACCGACGTCGCCTTCTCCAAGAAGGGCAAAGGCAAACCCAGCGGAGGTGGCTGGGGCACGGGGAGCCACCGCCAGCCCAGCTACCCCCGCCAGCCTGGCTACCCCCAAAATCCCAGCTATCCCCATAATCCAGGGTACCCCCACAACCCCGGCTACCCCCACAACCCGGGGTATCCCCACAACCCCGGCTATCCCCACAACCCAGGGTGGGGACAGGGTTACAACCCATCCAGCGGAGGAAGCTACCACAACCAAAAGCCATGGAAACCCCCCAAATCCAAAACCAACTTCAAGCACGTGGCTGGGGCGGCAGCAGCAGGCGCTGTGGTGGGAGGTTTGGGGGGCTACGCTGTGGGACGCGCCATGTCGGGGATGCACTATCGCTTCGACAGCCCTGATGAGTACCGATGGTGGAACGAAAACGCGGCACGTTACCCCAACCAGGTTTACTACCGGGATTACAGCAGCCCCGTCTCACAGGACGTCTTCGTCGCTGACTGCTTTAACATCACGGTGACAGAATATAACATCGGACCTGCCGCCAAGAAGAATGTGTCGGAGGCCGGATCAGCGGTGAACCAAACAGAGACGGAGCTGGAGACCAAGGTGGTGACAAAGGTGATCCGGGAGATGTGCATCCAGCAGTACCGCGAGTACCGCCTGGCCTCCGGCATCCGGCTGCACCTCGCCGACACCTCCCTTGCCACCCTCCTCCTCTTCTTCACCCTCTTTGCCATGCACTGATGCACCCCGGATCCCGTTGCTTCAAGATGTCACCCGTGTCTCCCCGGGGACCCCCTGATTGCCCCCGTTTGTGCTTGTGGTTGTCTTCGGTGAAGAGCCCTTGGGGCGCACAGGCACCGACACTCCCCATCACCTCCCCGGAGGGTCTGGTTTAGGCAACTGGATGAAAATTTCTTTCTCCACCCCAAACATGTCCCCCGTCACATGGCAGGACAGTGATGGAGCTGGATGCCCAAAAAATGGCCTTCACCACCTCCTCCTCTGCAGGGCTACCCTGAGAGGGACCGGGCAGAGAGGAGCTCACCCGGTCCTTGGCATCCGCGCAGGAGCATTTGTGAAGATCCTCTTTGCTAACAAGCGGGGTTTTACCTAATCCCCTTAGTCCTGCTGCCACCAAACCCCCTTTCCCCAGGGCACGCCGCTTCGTTGCGCCTGAGCACCCGTACACCCCGGAGGAGTTTTAGGAAGGTCCCATATGGGTTTTTTTTTTTTCAAGCAACAAGCTGCTGGATTGCAATTTTAACCCTTTAATCCTCAAAACCACTCTTCATCCTGTACATACGGACCCACCCGCTCCGCACCTCGCCGCTTTCAGTTGAGCCTCGCTGTGTTTCTTAGCCTGTCTAAAGGCAAAAAGTGCTGCTGAATGCTGAAAAAACAACCCCAAAGCGGTAATGCTTGGTGTGTTACAGCCCAAGAAAAAGCTATTTTGGATGCGCTATCGGCAACAAGTCACGCTCACACGTCAGCACCTTGACCTAAAGGATGTTAAAATGCATCAAAAAGGATGCTCAGGGGGGGTCAAGCATGTAGCAAGAGACTTAAATCAGCGAAATTGGATGGTTAAGGCAAACAGCATCAGGAAAACCAGGCCTGAGGGATGGAAGATGCTTAAAACCCCCCACCTTTTGTAAGTAATTAGTGGAAGCGGTGGGTGAAACTCTTGCTTCTCGTGTTTGGGTCGATGCTGGGTTGTACATAACCTGTAGCATCTGTAAAGTTGCGCTTGTTGAACCAGTCGCCCCGAGTTATATTTACTATTTCTCGTGTATTTTTTTTATTTTGCAAGGCACTGAATGACACCGTCCTAAATGATTTTTCGCATCGGTGTAAGCTAAGATATATATATATATTAAAAAAAATAGAGAAAAAAGAAATCTTTCAGGTTATTCACCGGAAAAGCAGGGCTTTGAGGTAACCCGTACTTTGTGATACGCGAATGTTTTGTAAATCCGTAACGGTGCATGCACGGAATTTGCCGTTACGATACTTTTCTAAGTGTTCAACGTCTGGTACAAATTAAAACGGATAAAGCCAAGATGCACGTCAGCCTCCTTAGTGCAAACAGCTCCCCCCCCCGTCCCTGCAGCCCTGCAGACAGAAACGGCATTTTTCGCCCTGTCTGTCCCTGCCTCCCCAGCCTGTGGGCGCCTTTGTTCCCTTTCAGCACTAAATTTGACCTAAAACCCCACAATTTCAGTTAACCTTTTCTCCTCCCTTGCTCCCACTAACGGTATCGCTACCATCCAACAAATATTTTCTAATAAAGCCAATGCACTGGTTGGGACAGGGGATTTCTTCTCCTCGTAGGAAGTCAACACCCGTTTATACCTTGTATTTACTCCAGCTATTTTCTGTCTAATAAAAGAGTTTTTACATTTGCTGTTTCAGTGGCATTAAGCCCAACCAACTTCATGCGAAGCCCCAAGCCCCACTTAATGTGGCCAGAAATCCAAATCTCCCTGCTACCTAAACCAGCATCACCATTAGATGACTTAGATGATAGCAAGAGTTAAAAATGACAATTAAAAAGGGGGGAGAGTTTACATCCTTCAGCCAAATGGGGCTTTAAGGCTCAAGGCCAAGTGTCCCAGCTGAAACCAGGATACCAAGCCTTGGACCTGTTTGGTTTGAACCTACGCAGGATGGGATTTATTGCGCTGCAAACCCCCTTGCCCACAAGGCTGCTAAAGAATTTAGTCTTTAAGTGGTGCTCTGGGCAAACCTCAAATGTGACTCTCTTGCATACTTTTGGCAGAAAAATAAAGAAAAAACCCCTATTCAGCACTAAATAAATTATTATTCCTGCATGCAAGCAGCTTGCTCCCAAAGGGGAAACCTCAAGAGGTCCATAAGAGGGATCCAGAGCTCCTGTAAGTGCTTGGAAAGAGCAAAAATAAAAGGGTTATTTTACTTGACATTGGCTACTGGGCATCACCACGTTATCTCTGGGTATTGGCAAGTGGAGCAAGCAAATGGGGAGTGGGGCAAAAAAAAAAAAAATAGATGGCAGGTGGAGCTATTTCCAAAATGAGGAAAATAAAAATAAAATGTCAGGATCCCCCCCTTCACATCTTCCCTGTGCAAGAGCAATTGAAAAAAATGTGATGGAAAGGAAGATTTGGGGAATAAAAAGCCCCCAGGGAGGTTATTGGGTCTGTCCTAAGCATCCCTACAGTCGCTGCTCATCCTATGCCGCATCCAACTGCTTAACACATCCCAAAAGTTCTCCATCCCCAAACTTTACCAGGACATTTATTTTGTCCTAAATACTCAAAACTGACTCGCTCAGGCTTTTCCTCACGTCATTTAAAAAAGGGGGGCAAATAAATGCAAGACCCCTGAAGCGCCCAGCTCTGCTGCCCTGCAGGGAGGCTTCACCGGTCCCCAGGCTACGGGGAGGACCTGGCTGATCAGGGCCACAGGGAGGTTTGTGCGACCCTTCTTATGAATTCAGATTTTTTCAAGGTAAAACAAGAGTGATTTCAAACTTCAAAGAGAAAGAGGTAGCAAGGAAGGTACGGTTGTTCAGTGACGGGCTCGGAGGACCTTGTGCCCTGATTGCCCTTGCACTGGCAAGCTGCAGCCCAACTGGGAGGGGAAAAAACCCAGCAAGGAAGGAAAACAGCCCCTCCAACAAAGAAAGAAAAATAAACCTCAAAGAAGGCAAAAACCCCCTAAAACAGCACAGAAGGAAATCCCCCTCACAAAGAAGGGACCCCCCCAAAAGGGAAAATATGCCCAAAAGGGACCCCCCAAAACAGAAGGGAAAATGCACCCAAAAGAAGGCACTCCCCCCAAAAAAGGGAAAATACACCCCAAAGAAGGGAAATGTGCCCACCAAAGAACAAAGCACCCCCCAAAAGAAGGGACCCCCCCCTCTTTTCCTAGGTGAGCATATGGATGTTGCCAGGAAGGGCTGGCAGCGCCTGCGCAGCAAACACCACTGGGGAGGGTTTGACCTCAGCAAGGCAGCGATACAAAATGCTCATTTTTAGCCCCCCCAAAATCCCCCAGCTTCCCTGCACTTCACCCCAAGTGGGGGGAAACATCGACGTCAGCAGCGCTCAGATGAGCTCAGAAATCCCCGCTGCTTCCCATCTGCACGCACAGCACCCGACTTTTTTAACCACGCATGGGGTCCTGCGTGGGTAATTGGGTTTTTATGGTGATTATCGGCGCTGTTTGCTCGCTGCTGTGGGCTCGGAGGGGAATATCGGAGCTTTCCCGGCTCCGGGAGCCCGTGAGCAGGACATGGGGACACAGTCCAAGCCCTCACGTCCTCTAAGGATGGTTGGGTCCAATAACCCTGACACCCTCCTGCCCCCCTGTGGGGGTTTGACCCTGGCTGGACACCAGGGGCCACCAAAGCCGCTCCATCACTCCCCTCTAAGCTGACAGAGGAGAGAAAAGTAAATCAAAGGGCTCATGGGTCAAGATAAGGACAGGGAGAGATCATTTTATCAGTTACCATCACGGGCAAAACAGACTCAGCTTGGAAATAATTAATTTATTATCAATCAAAATCAGAGAAGGAGAAGAGAAAAACTGCTAGATCTTAAAAACCTTCCCCCCTCCCCTCCCTTCTTTCTGGGCTCAACTTCATTCCCAGTTTC